AATGGAAGATAAGTAGGACTTGGGTATGAGTAGTGGTAGATGTGCTAAAAAAGAAGATATCACCAAAAACTGAAAGTTTGTAAGTCCCAAGGCAGAGCCAAATGCCAGTGCCAGTATAGAAGATGCCTATGCTCCTAGAAGCTGATCCAAAAACCTCATACTACCAAAGTCAATTGGTTCACAAAGTACCAAGAGAGACCTCTTCAATGCCTGATTCAACTCAACTGTTACCAGCAATGATGATCAACAAATACTTTCAAAGTCTTAATGACACTTAGGACTTAGCAGTTTTCTGAGGCCTCCCAGCTGGACCAGGAGAGGGAATCTGCACTACTTGTCTTCAGAAGATTTATGCTCTGAGATCTCTCCTTAGGATTCACAGTCAAAAAGATCTGCAATTAGTTCGGCAGATGAAGCCAGTGGGACTGATTTTGATGATATGCATTCCCCAGTTGTTTCTGAAGTACAGAACCCAAGATCTGTTTTAGGAGGCATGTACTGCTCCAATAGGAAAACCCAAAGGGGAGATCCCTACACTAAAAACAGATGTTGCATTTATCCCAGGACAAGTTATGCCTGTGTTTGTCCGTCAACAGAAAAATACCAGGGTTAGCAAGTGTGCGCACTGCCCTTCCAATTGGGGTTTAGTGACTGGCTGAATGCACTGCTGCTTTTTTGCCACTGGCTCAATGATACAGTCCTGGGACAACCTTTCAGATGCAATTCACAGTGTCAGAAGACAAACAATTGACACTGTTCATGTCTGAACAATTGCATCAGGATAAAAGGGTTTATTCCAAGATAAATGCGCCCAAGAGTGTTGAATTCTTTTTGCAAAGAAAATACAAATGTCATAGGGCTCAGAGATGCAGCCTCCTCTTTCCCCCTCCCCCCATCAGGCAGAACAAGCATCTTGGGTGACTCCCAGCAGCACAATGGCATCACAAGATATGCAGTGTCTAAGGCCCTATGGTTTGTAGCTGTATTCTGACCCGTGTTCTAAACTAAAGTAAAACAAATATATGCAAATTGGGAAGGCATTAGCAGAATGTTACACTTAGCAGTAGTTAGTTAATTAGCAAACTACAGGCTATTTACAGACAATAAACATAAGTAGTTTAAAGAAATTAGATACTATATCTGACTTCATCTTGTCTGCCCGTATACTCTGACTCCAGGCATCCGTGGTAATGAAACAGAGGTAAGAAGGGACTGTCAGGGTGGTTTCCCTCTTTATTTTCCCAGCTTGGTATATGAGGCCAAAAAAACATGTTTTGCCCCAACAGTTTCTGTTGACCAGCAAGTTCTCTGAGACATGTAACCTCCACCAATGGCATTTGTACAAGGAAAAAAAGTATTTCTACTTCATAGACCCAAAACTCACAAATGTTCCCAGCTAATACTTAGAGAAGTCCAACAGAGTTCAGTGCACTCCTATGAAAGATTAACTCTGCACTATGCCTTGAGCTATATCATTTCACTTCATACCTTGAATAGCAGCTTCCCCACCTAAATTAAAGGAGATAAAAAGGAACTTTTAATGCAAAATGGGAATCCTGAGGAATTTAATGGGAATCAAACCAGTATTAAATCCTACAAATATTTCTTTGCAGCCCTACCACTGGTGCTGAAACGTTGCTTTTCCTAGAACCTATACTTCTTTTTTTAATCTTTGCCCTCTACCCTATCACATCCTTTTACTTAGGGAAAACTGAGCAAACGTTATTCACAAACACTTCAGTGGGCGTCAAAAGCAAGAAAAGATCACGCCAATCTCCTTCATTAAACTTGCCAAATTCCCTCATTTTGAACAACTATAATCAATTTCTGCTAACTTTAGCCATCTGAAGATAAAATTAGAAGGAATTGCCTTGCTTTCACTAATTAGTACAATAATATTTTCTGGAAGATAGTTAAGAAAATTTTTGTCACCAAGTTATTTTGCTTGTTGTGAGGATTACTCACTCTCTTACTCATACAACATGAATGTCTTGGAGATGACTGGCATTATAACCTCTTACATTCATCTAAATATCCATTGGCTATCAACAAATTATATAGCCTTTTTACCTGCAATAAAAGCAGGACAGTTCCCTATAAAACAAACTTTACATGCTATAACAGATTTTAATAAAAACAGAGGTTAACACTTTAAGATATATTAAAAACAAAAAACATCTAAAAAAAACCCTACATTTTTACATTTCCTTCTCATTCCTCTTATGTTTAGCTCTATTAGTTATACTGTTGTTGCATTAAAAAATCTGAATAAACAAATGTGCACATAGTTAAACGAATTGCTGTTGCATTCTTGGGTTGTCTTCTGTATACCAGGTCTTACTGAACCTAGCAGAACTCTATTGGAAATGACGGCTCAAAACCAGTTTGTCTGCATTTCAATTTGCTTTAACTAATTGTAGCATATGTAAGACATACATAAATGCTGACCACTTTTCAACAATCCAGAGAGCACAAATATTGTGTGCCCATGTATGCTGTAATTGAACCTCTTTACCTCTTTACTGGTGCCAGCATTCACAGATTCTCAGAGCCATTCTTTCTGAAGGCAAGCTTATTACCTTCAGTGGTACCACTAAATATATTCCATATACTTAGACAGCCAAATACAATTTCTTCTTTGATTGATGTGCAATGTGCCCTATATCCTAAGGCATTTTGGAGTTGCTGAATAGCCAGGAGTTTTTAGCAAAACCAACAGAATAGTCAGGATCTGTTTCAACACTGCTGATTTAGTCAATAAAATGAGCACTGTGGAAATATTTGTTTCCACTAAGCCCTTTCAACAAACAAATAAGGAACCGTCTGAGCCACAGTATTGCCAATAAATTCAAAATAGAGAGAAAATATACCTGAGCGTAAAGCACTGTCTAGGTTTGTTGCTTCACTTCCTCAGAAAAATTGAATGCTTTTAACATATCATATACTGTGAAAGCTTGAGCACTGAGTTTGATATATAGCACTATACACAGTCTACAAATCCAAGAGATAATGTCTTCAAAAGAAGGCTCAAAGTGGAATCTGACAACAGAATAACAGAAGTTTTGTTTCAGTGGAATAATCAAGTGATACGGATGCTCTGTGATTACTAGTCCATATTCACCACTGGTGAAAGTCCTGTCAAGATATAATTACACCAGGAATACATTTGATATTTAAATTATTCTAAAGCACCTAAAAACGCTCCAAATTCACTTGTACTTAGAAAAATCCCAAGAGCACCATTATTTTCACTAATGGAAAAATCTTCTTTAAGCAGAATGAATCAAAGGCCTTATGCAATAAATTAACTAAACCTTTAATTTGTGTAAAAGCATTTGATTCTCATCCTAACCAAAGAGCCTGTGACTTCCTTGTCATTTTGACTTTAAGAAGATTACTGTAAGTTGTATATGTGAATACACACTGAGAGGGACAGGGAACCGTAAGGAATACACTAACAAACTTCACAGATTTTCAACCTAGATTTCTAGGTTGCTTCAGATCTAATATGTAAAACAAATCTCTAAAGACATGAAAATGTATTATGTCAAAATAGGGGACACCCCCTCCCGCCTCAAAGTCTTTTTTCCAAAATGAAGCTCAATACTATAGAACTGGCTCCATATGCCTGTGAAGTATTAAAATCATGTGCGCATTTTGTTAGGCTAAGCTTTATGGAAGGTAGATCGCAAACTTATTCAGCCCTAAGCAGTTTCTGTTTTAACTGGAAATCTAAATAAATTAGAACAAACTTATACCACCACATTAAACACAAAGGGCTTGTCATTTGCTTGAAAATCACAGGATTATCTTGAATTCTGTACTATAAGCACTGAATGCAAAGTATAAGTCAATCAATAGGTAGAGACAGTTGTCATGTTTATAATCAGTAGAGTCCAAGAACACTGAACAGTCTTTATTTCTAAAAAGTGGCATACATTTACTGAAGCCAACATAATATACATGCAGTTTTCCTTCCAAGTTCACCTCAACAGTCATAGTTGTGGGGAAGGGGGTGTCCATAATGTGTGGTTGAAAGAAAGTCTAATTTTAAATACCAGAGGTTACCCTAAATATTTACTATTTTGATATATGGATTCTAATATTATACAGAGAATCATATTTTATATCGCAATAATTCAACCAGGAATTGCTCTGGATTTAAAAACATTCAAAACAGTAATATCTGACACTAAGAGAAAATACGTTCTTGAATAGTTTTGCAATCCTCATTCAGTTTCTAATATATGAGGTTAGGAGAGCTCTGCCTAAAAACAGAAAAGACATTAAGATATTTAACACCTCCATTTAATTGAAGTAGTCTATTATAGTATACACCACAACACCTGAATGTATATTTGTTAAATGTTTACTGGTTACTGAACAATCTAAAGAACAAGTATGATTTTTAACTTGTTTCCTTACAAAAAACATATATATATACCTATTGAAAACTACACAGAAGTGTCCAGAAAAAAATAACTTCAGAAACTAACATGGCAATATTTTAAATCAAAACAAAATCAATAATATGTAAATAAATCCGTATATCAGTAAAATGTGAAGAGCTTAACCTAAGGATGCCAAGGATGAGGTTTTGCTGCTGTTTCCCGCCCCCCCAAGAAGATGGATAGGTGCAAGGGGATAAAACATCTCAATTCTTATTTTGTAACCTGTTAACACAGAGATGCTTGTCATTTTAGGTGACTGGTGCTATTTTTCAGTATTCCTCTAAAGTTTTAATATTCTGAACCTAAGCAGTATATTCATTTTTTCTCATTCTACACCTACATTTTAAGGAAAAATATCTATTTAAACATTTTCAAAAATTAATATTTGAAGTACTTGGATTTCAAAATCATAGCAGAAAATCTTTGCTACTTTGTTTAAGGAAGTGCACAGCATTGCTGTATTGTACAGAATTGTAATAAGGCAGGATGTGATCTAATAAGTCAGTAGAACATGTTACATTCTCTTAAGATAAACCAAAACATTCTTACCTTATTGTATCCAAATGGCAAAGTTCCTCCAGTTTTCAGCTTACAGCTATCTAGCATAGTGGAATAGGTAGGAATAAAGCATCTTTTGCTTCACAAAGGCACATGCATATCTAAAACTAGCCTTGAGAACTGGCAACTGCTCAGCAATGCTGTATACCTCTAGGTAGCAAGAACAGCCTCTTTGCTTGCTTGCTGCTGTGAACTGCAGCTACTCAGAATGAAAGGCAAAACCGTGATCTGTGGTACTGTTGCTTCATAGATTCAAAGGAAATGACTCAACCATGTCACCACCTCCAAACAACAGAACTGCATCGTTCCCCCACTCTACATAGTGAAAACAGAGCATGCAGAAGATGGGTACGGTTTTTTGGTGGTTGTTTAAAAATAAAAAGAAAGTGAAACAAGTATTAAAAATGTGTACATTAAAACAAGTGTTCAGTTTGATCACTGCTGCCTATACATAATTCATATGCATTATGAATTAATATGCATTAATTTATAGTATGTATATAGTAATTATATTCATTGTTTATATTAATCTACATTCATTATATATACATATAGCTATATCCATAATATACATACACACATGTTCCTATATAATCAGAGCAAAGAATCTGCAAAACAGTATTATAACGTTATGAACTACACATGTTGTCAGCCTGCCAGCGTGAACAGATCCACTCTGATGTCAATAAATACACACACGTGTGTGTGTTGACATCAGAGTGGATCTGTTCACACTGGCAGGCTGACAACATATTACATATATATATTAAAGAGTCTGAAAAATCCAACTCCTTCACAGAATCCGCACTTGAAATACATTTCTTCTTAATATATTCTGTACCACATTGTCAGAGTAAAAGAGTGTCTCCACCTTTTACTTAGAAACACATTTTTTCAACTTTGTCAATATTTCTAAAGAACACGATTAATTATATGGCTTTTGGTGAATTCAACAATTTACTACACAAGAACTTCAAATGACTTCTAAGATTGAAAAAACACTTAGATATTAATCTCCAAGATTGATATTAAAGAGGAACTTCATGCTGGTCATTATAAAGATGAGGTATAGGAAGTCAAAAGAGGGAATCTGCAGAAGAATTCTGAAGGAAAGCAAGATAAAGCACAGGTGTATTTTTGGGAAACCATAGCACAAAATAAATAATGCTCACCAAAAGGAATGCCATCTAGTTCATATTTCAAATTTCTATTCCATATGTGGCCATCTAAGCATAAGTATATAAAATGGAGATGTCTTATTTTATAGGCTTTCCATCATTTGCATTGCCTCTTACTAATAAAATGGCCTGATTCTCCACTGAATTATACTGGCATAGATGAGGAATACCTCCAGTTAAGCCAATGAATTCAATGGAAAATCAGCCTCAATAAATGCACTGTCAAGTAGTAAAAATGTATTCATTGATACTAATAATGTTTCCACTTATAAATGTAAAGCCCATCAAACATTAAACTCAGTCTTTAGTTATAATAAGCATAAAATTAACTCCAGTATGTTAATATTTCCTGTTCTCAGAGCTTCTGGGGTAAACATACCATTAAATTTTCTACAAATTATGGGTCATCTCCTGTTTTCCCTGCTCACTGGAGTAATTTCCACTGAAATCAATGAAACTCTATGCCAAAGTTAGCTGAGCAGGGAAATGACCACATCCAATATTAAGCAGAAACCAAAACGTGCAGCCATTTCTCAGTATTTTGTAATGTTTGCTTCCGCTCCTTAACACAATTCTATTGTCTAACTTTTTAAAGTACAGTTGCCTACATGTACACTCATCATAGCTTGGATGGTTGCATTTTTGCTTTGCATAGCTCTTTACTATGCAAAGCAAAAAGGTGATTGGCCCCAGAGCTCTTCACCTGTGTGGAATAACACAGATACTTGACCTTCTTGTTGCGGTGAGTTTCCCAATATATTTTAGTGTTTACCTAACTGCTTTGTGCCCTGCTGGGTTGCATAAGGCTAACACTCATGGAAAGCAGAATATTGGTTTTCCAGATGCTCAGTCCCTACAGTGGTTTGTCATCTACTTCTACTCCCTGGAAAGACATCTGGTAGTAGTCCCCATGTCATCAAGTACAGATCTCTTCCCATTTGTTTTACCTTTGCTGCTAGTCTCTTGATTGTCTTTTCTTCAGACACCACCTTTCACTCCTTTTTGAGTGCCCAGGAATAGATTTCTTCTGCTGCAGTGTACTGATTTCTACACTCTGCACATAACATGTCAAATGTGCTGTACTTGCAAAAATATGCCTTCAGTTTCCTGATCGCAGCTCACGCCAGAGTGTCCTCCAGAGAGTCCCTAACTATCTCACCATAAGATAGTTGAGTTCCAGATGCTGAGCTAATCATCTACTGCAGTGGCTTTCAACCTGTGGTCCACAGATCCCTGGGGGGTCCGCAAACTATGTCTAAGGGTTCTACAAAAGATGACTATGATCATTCAAAAGCATGTAAATACCCGTATTTACAATTCAGAGGTCCGCACCTCCATTCAAAATTTCCAAAGGGGTCAGCAAATGAAAAAAGGTTGAAAACCACTGATCTATTTGGACCACCTAGCTCCTGTCATTAAAAGTGAATACATTTGTTTCAGTCTTTTCCATGGGTTTTTTGAGGCTACAGTCTCATTCTGCTGTCAATCACTATAGTCTTTACCCCCCACCCCTCACACTGCTCCATGTATGCTCTTTATTAGATCACTATGCCTGAGATGCATCTAAGACTAATGGTGCACCTCAGTGTAAAGTGTGTACCAGTTAGTTTACAGCAGCGTCTCTTAAGTCTGCTGGAAGTTGTATTGGATTCTTTTTACAGAAAACCCTGTATACCAAACACAGAGCTCATCCCCCACTTCATACTAGCAGGTGACTTACACTTTGGTTAGAAACAGACATGTTTAGTGGAGTTGCACAGATGTCTTCAGTGAATAAGTGGCAGCACAGCTGATTATACTCCAGGTATGTCTATGCTCCTCTCCAAGTCTCCACCCCTTCCCCCCACCCCAGCTTGAGGCACATCTGCAAGTGGGGGGAAACTGCTGCCTGCAAAAGCACCATCTGTGTTGGGGAGCAAGAGAAACCCTGCAGGGGATTTTATCATGCGTGTATCTGCAAATAGGTTCCCCCTCCCCCCCACCCCCAACCCCTTGCAGTTATGCATGCAGATGAATCCCTCTACAGATAATTTCACTACATGTTCCTGTAAACATAAGGTAGGGAGAGAGGAAGTCCCCCCCTTCACGCTTGCAGGTACGCAGGGGGAAATCCCTCTGCTTGCCCCCACCTGCTACATGGGATGCATCCAAACACACCAAAGCCCAAACTTTTCCCACTTACCCAAATGTATCCTTGAAGAGATGCATTTTGGTAAGCAGGGAAAGTGAGGCAGACACTCCCAAGGCTAAACGGGGGTGCAGGACCAGCCCCCTCAAGCCTGAGGAACCCCTGCTCCAGGGAGGCTGGAAAACCCGGTCAGCTTTACACTGCCTGAGATCTTCTGCCATAAGCAAACAAACATGGGCCACAATAAAGCAGCTCAATTTATTACTGCCTTCTGCCGTGGCCACAGATTCCAGTATTGTGGTGCACCAGAAGGTCTGGACATCTGTTTGCTTTCACTTTGAGCTACCATTAAATGTATGATAGCAGCACAAAGGTGACCCTTGCCACCCTTTGTGGTCATCCCTGGAGTATGAATTGTTTTGTCTGTAGCATTCCATCCTGATCCATGATTAGTCGGATTGCCTACAGCCTCCCATCAGAGATGTGCAGCTATTGTTGCATGTTCACAAACTCTCTCCTGTTCAACAGAGCTGTGTGTGTAGAGGTCTAGAAGGTACAGCCTGCACAGTGTATGTGCCACCAGTAGTGGATTTTTCCATGTAGTACCCTTACCCTCAGATCACAAGGCCCAAATTCACAGAACTGTAGTGCTTTGGAATATTTTGCCTTGCTCTGAAATCAAACCCATGTCCAGCAGCTGGTGGTCCTTTCCTATACAGTGCTATAGTTACAGTGCTATAAACTGTCTCCTGTTTCATTAGTTTCTTATCAAGAGCCTACATAGATGAACTAGCTTCAGAATGATTTTATTTCATATCACTGATACTTGACTACATTCTTCGGGTTTAATATTATTAGGCCCAGTATTACGTTGGGCCTAAATTCTCAAACCGGCCAGAATGGAATTGGCTACTGAATGGAACACTGGACATAGGACTGAGAGGAACCTCCTGGGTCTTTGAGTGCAGTTCCCTTCTGTTAAAGGCAACCTAACTTTACAATACTGATTTAGCTCCACTTCAACAGCCTGCAAAGGAGTTAGAGCAAAAGAAATCTATTCCTGGGCACTCAAAAGGAGTGAAAGGTGGTGCCTGAAGAAAAGGCAATCAAGAGACTGGTGGCAAAGGTAAAACAAATGGGAAGAGTTCTGTACTTGATGACAAGGGGATTACTACCAGATGTCTTTCCAGGGAGTAGAAATTGATGACAAACCAACAAAGTTGATGTAGGGACTGAGCATCTGGAAAACCAATTTTCTGCTTTCCATGAGGGTTAGCCTTATGTAGTCCAGCAGGGCACAAAGCAGTTAGGTAAACACTAAAATATACTGGGAAACCCACCACAAAGCCCACCAAAAAGCGATGCAAAGGAATAAAAAAGGCAAAAAGTATAACAAATACTTAAGTACCTGTTTAAACTCCCCTAATGTTATTGGTTAAACAGTTAACTGGTAACATGCATTTATCAGGGATACGCCCCCACCAGTACTCACTCATTCTTCAGGTGGCACCAGCAGCCCAGGCTCCCTGGCGGGGGGGCAGAGACCTGCCTAGAGCATGGGCTGGCCATAGCAGGGGGCCAGAAGGCTGCAAGTGGCTGCACTGGGGTCTGTGAGGCCCCCAGTCTGGCTCATTGCAGGCGGCAGATGCACACATGCTTTGGGGCAGACAGCAGGGAAGGGGCCAAGGCTGTGCTACCACAAAAAGGATCAGGCCCCTCATGGCTCGCCCACTGTACTAAGTACAG